TGTTAATTATATCTCAATAAACATTACTTATGAACATTTAAAAAATGTTTTCACACTCCAACTACCACTCTAGACCAAGAAATAACCCTCTCTTATAGGCTCTACTATGTGCTCCTGATGGACATGACCGCCTACTATTGTATCTAACACAGAATATAAACTCAGTAAATAGTCTGTGGAAAGGGCAAATGTGAGCAGCTTATTCAACAAAGATCCTCATTTACATTAGGAAATTACATTACTATATTTAGATGACTAGAAATCCAGCATCAAAATATAGTGGATTTGTGTCACATTAAGAAATTTTCCATGTTTTTTAGAGCTCAAAGTGAAAAACATACAGGTGAAATAACAGTGCCCAAACCTGCTTTGAAATACTTTAGCATAGAAAAAACAGAAGAGTAGGAGGACGAGTTAGGGTAGAAGCAGGAGGAGGAGGAACAAAAGCTGCACCACCACCACCCACTCAACTAAGAGAAGCAGCTAGGACAAAATTCCGAGTAATTATTAAATCCAAGAAAATGGTTATATTCTTCTACTGTTCAGTATGTTTGAAATTTTCTTAATAAAAAATCAATGAATTAGCTAGAAATACTCCTCTCTGAAAAAGACAACATAAGACAGTCTGCATTTTTCTGTCTATAACCCCATAAAATTTTAAAGTAAAGTTCATGTATTTCTGTTCTTTGACAGATTTTTACATAGTGCCAACAAGGGAAACACAAAAAACACCTTTTAAAAAATGTCAGGAAACATTTAGATGTAGTTCAAAGTGTAACTACACAGATTCAGAGTCATAGTTACAGCTTTTTCCAAAACTAATACTAATAAAGCCTTCATAGTAGCAAATATGCACTTTTAATGATGACTTAAGAGCCTTTAGCTTTTCCAGATGAAGCTTAATATTCCCAAGTAGTGAATTAGAGCTTGGTAATATCTTCTTTAGTAGATAAATCTTAAGGGTATCATAAAGCCTTCTCCATCAGTTCCCTTCCTGCTTTGTTGCCTATAATTCAAGAAATTCATTGATTTTGCTTTTTATTTTTTAATTTCTTTTAAGAGTATCAGAGATCATGACTGCTGAAAAATTAAGAGAATACTATGACCGTAACATAGTACCTAATGCAATAACTATCACCAAAAGAACTCTTCCAAACTATTTGATAGAAATGAATCTAGTAATAATATACAAACTTCGACTTCTAAGAATTTAAACTGAGTAAAATAGGAAATATTCTTCGAATTTGAAAATATTATTCATTTATGAGTAAAATAAGAATACTCCAACTGACTTTGATATATTTATTCTTAAAGCAGCATTAAAAGGGTTACACCATACTACTTCCTAGAAAATAAAAGTGCTTGTTATGGAATATTTAATCTATTATTCTATCATATTCTTCAATCTTTCCTTAGAAAGTGAAAATGCCATATCTGATAAATAAATTTTTAAATAAACTATCATTGATATACAATCTTACATTGGTTTCACATAAGCACCACAGTGGTTTCAACATTCACCCATATTATCAAGTCCTCACCCCCTTTATCATGGTCGCTGTCCATTAACACACTACAATGTTATAGAATCACTGTCTGCTTCGTGCTATATATTGTCTTCTCTGTGACCTACCTATATTGCAATTGTGAATTACAGTGCCTCTTAATTTCCTTGTTCTTCCCCACACACCATCCCAACCCTTCCCCTTTGGTAAACTCTAGTCCTTTTTTGGTGTCTTGAGTCTACTATTTTTTCCTTCTCCTTTCCTTTGTTTTTACACTCCACAAATGAGTGAGATATTTGGTATTTGTCTTTCTCCACCTGGTTTATTTCACTGAGCATAATACCCTCTAGATATATTATGTTGTTGCAAACGGGAGGATTTTTCTTGTAATGGCTGAACATTATTAAATGGATAAAATCTTCTTTATCCATTCATCTATTGATAGATACTTAGGTTGCTTCCATATGTTCACTGTTGTAAATGGTGCAGCAATAAATATAGGGGTGCATATGTCTTCAAATAAGGGATCTTGTTTTCTTAGGGTGAAATAGGAGTGGAATTCCTCAGTCAAATTCTACTTTTGGTTTTTTCAGGAACCTCCATATTGCTTTCAACAACAGTTCGACCAATTTACATCCCCACCAACAATGCAAGAGGCCTCCCATTACTCCATATCCTCACAGCATCTGTTGTTTCTTGTCTTTTGGATGTTGGCCATCCTAACTGGTGTGAGGTGGTATCTCATTATGGTTTAAATTTACATTTCCCTAATGATTAGTGATGTCGAGCATCTTTTCATGTGCCTGTTGACCATCCATATTTCTTCTTTAGAGACATGTCTGTTCAGATCCTCTGCCCATTTTCTAACCAAGTTACTTGATTTTTTGAGTGTTGAGGCTTACAAGTTCTTTATATACTTTGGTGGTTAACCCCTTATCCAGTGAGTGGTCTACAAATATATTCTCCTATACTGTAGGATGCCTTTTTGTTCTGCTGATGGTGTCCTTTGCTTTACAGAAACTATTTAGTTTGATGTAGTCCCATTTGTTCATTTTTGTTTTTGTTTCCTGTGCCTGAAAAGACATGTTCAGGAAAAAATTTGCTCATATTTATATTCAAGAGATTTTGCCTATGTTTTCTTCTAAGACTTTTATGGTTTCATGACTTACATTCAAATCTTTTATCCATTTTGAGTCTACCTTTCTGCATGAAGTTAGAGAATAATACAGTTTCATTCTCTTACATATAGTTGTCCAGTTCTCCCAGCACCAGTTGTTGAAGAGGCTATTTTTCCCATTGTATATATATGGCTCCTTTATCATATACTAATTGACCACATATGTGTGGGTTTTTATCTGGGCTCTCTATTCTGTTCCATTGATCTATGGGTCTGTTCTTGTGCCAGCACCAAACTGTTTTGATTACTATGGCTTTGTAGTAGAGTTTGTAGATAGGGAGCATAATCCCCCCAGATTTATTTTCCTACTCAGGATTGCTTTGGCTATTCTGGCTGTTTTGTGGTTCCATTTGAATTTTAGAACTATTTGTTGTAGTTCTTTGAAGAATGCTGTCGGTATTGTATTGACAAGGATTGTATTGAATCTATAGATTGCTTCAGACAGGATGGCCATTTTGACAATTTTAATTCTTCCTATCCATGAACACAGACAGATTTCCACTTATTGGTGTCTTTTATGTACAATATCATGTCATCTGCAAATAGTGACAGTTTAACTTCTTCTTTACCAATCTGAATTCCTTGTATTTCTTTGTGTTGTCTGACTGCTGTGGCTAGGACCTCCAGTACTATGTTGAGTAAAAGTGGCAAGAGTGGGCAGACTTGTCTTCCTTCCAATCTTAGAGGAACAGTTTCACCTTTACGCTATTAAGTATGATGTTGGCCGTGGGTTTTTCATATATGGCCTTTATTATGTAAAGGTGCATGTCCTCTATGCCCATTTTATTGAGTTTTTATCATGAATGGATGTTGAATTTTGTCAAATGCTTTTTCTGCATCTATTGAAATGATAGTGCAATTTTTGCCCTTTTTGTTGATGTGGTATATGATATTGATTGATTTGTCAATACTGTACCATTCGGGCATCCCTGGAATAAATCCTACTTGGTCATAATGGATGATCTTTTTGATGTATTTTTTAATTCACTTTGCTAGTATTTTTTTTTAAGGGGAAAGCACAAACACAGTCCCCCACTACCAGAAATGATGCAGCCTAGTTTCCCACATTTGGGGAAATTGCAGGGGTCAGCACATCTGGAGTGCAATGGATAAACCTCGCCCTGGGAAAACCACCTTCGTGATCATGGTATTTCCCCTGCCAGGTAAGTATGCTAGTATTTTGTTGAGGATTTTTGCATTGGCATGTAATTTTCTTTTTTATGATGTCTTTGGTTTTGGTATTAAGTGATGCTGGCCTCATAGAATGAGTTTGGAAGTACTCTTCTACTTTTGGAATACTTTAAGAAGGACGGATATTATTAGCTCTTCTTTAAATGTTTGATAAAATTCAGCTGTGAAGCTATCGGGGCCAGGGATTTTTTTTCCTTTGGTAGTGTTTTGATTACCAATTCAATTTTATTGCTGGTAATTGGTCTGTTCAGGGTCAGTCATGGAAGGCTGTATTTTTCTTGAAAGTTATCCATTTCTTCTCAGTTGTCCAATTTGTTGGCATATAACTTTTCATACTATTCTACTAATTCTTTGTATTTCCGTGGTGTCCGTTTTGATTATTCTTTTTTTTCTGAGGGTAAAAGAGGATTAAACCAAAGGTAATTTTGTAAACTATCAAAAAGGCTTCCTAACCAAAGGTCTCAAGTACATTTTTTCTTTTTTCAATAAAGAAAAAAGAGTTGTCTGTACTGTCAAGTATATGTGAGACCAAGTCAAAGCTAAGGCTGACTTCCAGAATGTGTGTTTCTAAAATTCTGATTGATTGCTTGGAGTCTTGGGAGGGAACAATGCAGAAAAATATGCCTTTAAAGTTTGGAAGATAAAATCTTTGATGGAGGTGTAAATTGGTTTTTAACTTATTCTTCAAGGATTCTGGGGAAAAGATGGCAGTGTAAGGAGCAAGGCAGAAATCTCCTCCCCAAATCACATAAAACACAAAAATATAGCAAAGGCAGCTAAATCTGAAAATGACCTGAAGACTGTAGAACAGACTGCCTACATCTGGGGAAGAAGAGAAGACTTCACAGAAAAGAGTAAAGTGGCAAAGCCACTATCTAAAAGACCCAAGCTGTCCCCCAACCCCAGCACACAGGTGGAAGGAGGAGGAACAGAGCAGGGAGGGAGTAGAAGCCTAGGACTCCTAAATACCTGGACTGCTAAAGGCCCTGGAGATCTGCTCAGGTAACATGACTCCATATTATATGGTGCTCTAGAGATTAGTGGGACTGGAAAGCAAAGATGGTTGGAACAATCAGAGAGGCTGAGATTCCAGACACTTGTAGAGAAGAGGCACTGGTCCCACTCACCTGTGGCCCTGGCCATTGCAGCAGGCTGGAGGGAGAGTGGCTTCACAGGTGCAGCCCCAAGTGTTCTCCTTGCTGGTGCGATCAGCTGACAGCCCACACAGCCCACCTGAAATCAGATCACTACAAGCAAGACAGACAGGTACCACACCCACTACATGCCAATAGCTGGGGCTCCCACACAATTTATTGAGCTTCTGGGCATTAGAGGGTGCCTCCTACACAAATCTATTATTCCATAGGAAACACTAAAAAGAAAATGCAGAGGAATTTGATCCAAACAAAAGTGCAAGAGAAAATACCAGAAAGAGGGCTTCGTGAAACTGAAATAACCAATGTTCTTGAAAAATATTTCAAAATGAAAGTCATAAACATTCTAATGGATTTACAGAAAAGATCTCAGGGAGGACTTCAACAAAAAGAGATATAAACTAAGTTCTTAAAAATTCTCATGGTAGGAGAATTGTTGGATGAAAAACTGACAATCTTATTTTTTTAAATGAAATTGCAAGACAATCTACAAAACTTCATAAGTATGTTTTACATTCACAGAAATAAAAATTACAGACAACAAAAACCACACTAAATAGCTTCCAAAGGTATTTCCCTACCCTAAATTGGTAATAAGCTATACTTTTCAACTTGTCTTTGAAGTTAAGAGAAGATATATTACTAAGTCTGAAATAGAAAACGGGGCTAAAATAGGAAGAGAGGGAAGTATATAATTATTGGGAAGGACCTGCCACCTCATATATATTCATACAATCATTTAAGTTCAATTCTGAAAATTGCTTGAATGTTTCTGACATTGGCATAGAGCTTTGTATCTAGTGGGTCCATGGAGATTTAGGGTATCAAAAAACTCCCCTAAAGCACATGAAAAAGTATGTACATAAACATGACACTTTCTGGAAGAAGAGCTATGATTTTCATCAGATTCTCACTTTGACATCCCACTCTGCATCTGATGTGATCAAAGAAGGTTAAAAATCAACCAACAACCTATTTTTCTGCTTTTGACAAGCCAATAGACCTGAAATTTTCTCTATCCTTTGAGTAAAGCATAGAATATAAGCTGTGGACTTCTTTATAAAGTCTTTATACTTCATTATTGGTTATAGTAATCCATTAGTACTTCATCTGAAGGTACATTCTTAGACATTGCTTATATATGTTCTCAAAATAGAGACCTTAAAAAGCAAACCTGTACCTATAAATTTCAACAAAAAGCTCTTTTTAAAAAAACATGTTACAAAATTCTAGTTACCAGCTTTACAAGTTAACAGAAATGTTCTGGTCTCTAACCAGAGAGCTCTGTTCTTTAGGTTGTATTCCACAGCTTGAGGATGGAAGACACCCTCTGGAAAGAAGAGTTCCATATCCTTTGGAATCTGAAATGACAATATGCCATTCATTTTACACTGTCATGGCACTTTTATAAGTAGCACTAGACGACCTCTACCTTGGCAGTAATAGCTCTAACAGCACAAACAACATTCTTTTTAATCTCTTATTGCCAATATCATAATGGCTACAAACACCACATGGTAATACACATACCTCAATGATAAAACATCTTTTCATGACACTCAGTATGTATATGACCAATCGCCTAAGAAGCAACTGGCAGAACAAATGTAGAACGAAGAGACCCAAATGTCCACCAGAGGTTCTGCAAAACATACAGTACAGAAGTAAATCTACATTATATCTAAATTTCAAATAAAGCAAACTCATAAGTGAGAAAGGATTACTACATTAATAAAATAAGAGATCTGGAAAGAGATCTGGTAGTCATTACACATTGTTTCATTTAGAGTAACATTTCCAATGTGCTGTTATAGTAGGAAAGGCCAACTATAAAAGTGGCCACTAACAGAAAGCATATTGGAAACAGAAAACACTACCTAAATCTATTTCACAAAAAACCATCTTTCGACAAGAGCCAGACAATGCATGTAAGTGAAAATAAAACTATTAGGAAGATAAGGGGTGGGGGCCTTCCATATGAAGGTGAACTGTAAAACTTTAGAATTTTCAGGCAGGAAATAATGCTGAAAGTTAATTGGCACACAGTGTAAAGATTCTAAAGGCAAGAGTTACTGATATAACATGAACATAGATTATTTCACAAAAATAATAGATTAACAGAACCAATCAAAACTCTAACAAAATCTACACTGGAAAAGAAAAGAAAAGGAATATATCTATAGATAATGCCAAGAGTTCTTTATTTCTTGTCACCATAATCTTATAAGGGAAAAACTTGCTATATATTTCAACAAAAATATGTGGGAGAAAGATAAGCATGTAAAATATCTTCATTGAATCTTAAGAAATTACCTAACTGGATATAGTAAAAGTATCTTATATAGTAATCTCACATCTAACATCTGTGAATGAAAAGTTTATTCTAAGCATTGAAAAACAAATAACAAGTAATTACTGAGGTTCACTACCAAAAGCATCCTATAAGTTAGACATGGTATTATTTGCAATTCCTATTGTATTTACAGCATCCACAAAATAAACATGCTTATGAAAATAAAATATTCATTCTCAGAAGATGGTACAGTAGGAAGATCCTGAACTCACCTCCTCCCATGAACATACCAAGGTTGGAACTAAATTTAAAGAAACTCCAATAACAACCTGAAGACTAACTGAACAGCTCTTCAAAAATCTAAAGATATAAAGAAAAAACCATACTAAGAAAGGTAGGAGAGGCAGAGAGGCAGAGATGCAATCTGGTCAGAAATTAAAACCCTAGCACTGACTCACAAGTGGGGAGGATATCTTGGGCATGGAGGAGCAAGGAGTTCAAGCCCTACATCTGGCACCTCTACCTTAAGGATTTGCATCAGAAAAAGGAGCCCTCAATACATTTGGTTTTAAAAATAACTCCAGGAGCTTTCAAAGTCATTAGGGCTTAACTCTTAAAGAATTAGAGGGCCATAGGAAACCCATCCTCTGCTCTTTAAGGGCCCATGCATGATCTCACTCTAAAACTAGCAAAGAAATAGCAGATTGAGAAGCACCTAGGCTATAAGTGAATGAGATTTAATAAAGAACTTTAGAGCATGGTCTGGAGGAGCAGAGATCTGTAGGAACTTTCAGCAAGAATGGAAGTGCTAGCAGATGCCATTTTTCTTGCAATCCTTCAGCCTAGCAGGCCTGATACTTGGTGGGCACCAGTTCTGGCACTCTTCAACTACTATGCTAGCATAAATAGTTCAACACACCTTAGCATTACCCTGCAGACTGCCCTGCAGGTGGGAGCCTCCAAAATGGCTCCCACCCCACTACACACAATTGCAGCCAGAAGAGCACCCCTCCAATGCAACTTCTGCCCAAAGAAGGTGGCAGAACCAACTCACCCAACAGCATGTCCCAGAAAGATGCAGCAGGGTCTCACAACCAGCCACACCACTAACTAACCACACCAATCAACATGGCCACAGTAGCTGCAGCCAGACCTCTCAGCCAGCAAGCCGGATCAGCCCTGCCATTCAGTATGCTGGCAGTACTCATGACTGTACACTGCTGCCTGGCATACCAGGGAGCAAACTTGCCCATCAATGCACCAAGAGTAGTCAAGGCCCAGTCATACAGGGAGGTACAAGCAGCCCACAGAGGGGACCTGGTTCTGGAGACCAGTGGGGATTTTGCTTACTTGACCCACAAGACAACTTCTATGTAAGGTCATTACACTCAAGACCAGGAATTGTATTTGATTTACTTAGCACATAGTGCCAAACAAAAGAGACAGAAGAACATGTTCCAAATGAAAGAGTAAGACAAAACCTCAGAAAAATAATTAAATGAAAAAGAGGTCCACCTGATGAAAAGTTCAAACTAATGGTCATAAAGGTACTCACTGAACTTGGGAGAAAAGTGGATGAACTCAGTGGAAACTTCAGCAAAGGGATATGAAATACATAAAGGAACTATCAGAGCTGAAGAATACAACTGAAATGAAAAATATCTTAAACGGAATCAACAAGTTAGAAGACATAGAAGAAAGGATCAGCATTCTGTAAGACAGAGTAGTATAAGTCATATAAGCTGTACAACAAAAAGAAAAAAGAATTTTAAAAATTGAGGATAGGTTAAGGGACCTCTGGTCAACATTATGCATGCTAACATTCATATTATAGGGGTTCCAGAAGAAAAACAGAGAAAGGGGCAGAAAACTTACCTAAAGAAAACTCCTAACCTGAGGACGGAAACAGATATACAGGTCTAGGAAGCACAGAGAACCCCAAACAAGATGAACCCAAATAGGTCAACACAAAGACACATAATAATTAAAATGTAAAATATAAAAGATAAAGAGAGAATCTTAAAAGCAGCAAGAGCTATATACAACTAGTTTCATATAAGAAAATACCCATAAGACTACGAGCTGATTTTTCAGCAAACCTTGCAGTCCAGAAAGGAGTGGCACAATATATTCATATATTCAAAGGGTCTGAAAGGTGAAAAACTACAACCAAGAATACTCTATGTAGCAGGCATTCATTCAGAATAGAAGGTGAAATGAAGGTTATTTCCAGACTAATAAAAGTTGATGGAGTTCATCACTACTTAAACCAGCCTTATGAGAAATGTAAGAGGGAATTATTTCAGTGGAAAAGAAAAGTACATAAAAAAAGAAATAAGAAAATTTTGAAATAAAAAATTTCAATGATAAAAGCAAATTTAAGGTAGTAGATCAATGGCTGATCAAACTAACATGAAGGTCAAAAGAATAGTAACTATTTCTATAATAATTACTCAAAGGATACACAAAATTAAAAAATACAAAGTATGAAATGAAATATATAAAACTGGTGGTTGAGAGAATGTAACAGTTTTATAATATGTTTGAACTTAAGTGTACATCAACTTAAAATAGACTGCTATGGGGGAGGGAAAAAGATGGTCATGTGAGAGTGAGGCAGAAACTTCTTCCCAACACTACATATAACACAAAAATACAGCAAATACAACTAATCCTGAATGAGCAACCACAAAGAAAACTGCACCAGATGGCCTATATCTGGAGAAAAGACCTCACAGAAAAGGTTAAAGTAACATATCTGCAATCTGGTGGGACCCAAGTCCTCCCCCAACCCCAGTTCACCGGCGGGAGGAAGAGAAACAGAGCAGGGAGGGAAAAGCACAAGACTGCTAAATACAGATTCCTGGAGATCTGCTCTAGGAGCACAAACCCACATTACATGGTGCTCTGGAGATTAGTGGGGTTGGAAAACAAAGACAAGCAGAATACTCAGAGAGACTGAGATTCCAGCAGCTTCTAGAGAACAAATACCTACAAACGGCGGCTCTGGGACAAAAGAAAGGCGGCATTTTTAAAGACTTCCCAACAGTGAGTGGGTTGCTAAAAGGGCAAAGACTACACAGAGTTTGCTACTCAGGAGAAAGGACAGGTGGAAAAAATTGTCTTGGCACACTCAGCTCAGCAGGTTAGGAACTTTCAGGAGCTTCAGGCCCTCCATTCCCCCAGCTGGCAATGAAGCACCAAGGCCAACCACAGCAGTATGCACACTCCACACCTTCCTCTCAGCCAGGAAAGCTGCTGCCCATGCCATTGCACCAGGCAAGCTGGAGGGCGGCCCCACCTACAGCAGCTACACGGGCATAATGCAGAGGCTCCTCCTTGTGCGCTTGGCCCACTGGCTGCGGCACTGGAAGCAGGCACTGCAGCTGGGAAGCAAGAAAGAGCTCTTTCCTCCAGAGGCATTGGAATCATTTGCCTGAAATCTACACCGTCACTCCAGGTGTTGGGCATTTCCAGAGAGTAGAGCTACTGGACACTAGAGGGCGCTGTCTACACAGTTATTATTCAATAATAATCTTCAGAAATATGAAGCAGCAAAAGAATTTTGTACAAAACAAAATCCCACAAACACCAAAAAGAGGCCTTACTGAAACTGAAATCACCAAACTTCTCAATAAAGATTTCAAAATAAAAATCATAAACATGCTCACAGAGCTAAAGAAAAAATATTCTAGCTATTAGGGAAGTCTTCAAGAAAGAGATAGAAACATCAAACTTTCAAACTGCATTTGAAAAATACAGTATCTAAAATGAAAAATACAATGGAGAGATGTAAGAGTAGATTGGATGAGGTAGAGGAGACAATAAATGAATAAAAATTAGAGAACAGGAATACAAAGAAGCTGAGGCACAGAAAGAAAAAAGGATTTTCAGGAATGAAAAAATATTAAGAGAACTATGTGATCAATCCAAAAGGAACAATAATCCCATTATAGCGGTACCAGAAGAAGAAGAGAGACAAAAAAAGGGATAGAAAGTCTCTTTCAGGAAACAAACGTTGAAAATTTCCCCAATTTGGGAAAGGAAATAGTCTCTCAAGCCATGGAAGTACACAGATCTCCTAACACAAGGGACCAAAAGAAGACAACACCAACATATATAATAATTAAAATGGCAGAAATCAAGGACAAGGACACAGTATTAAAGGCAGCCAGAGAGAAAAAAGATCAACAATACAAAGGAAAACCCATCAGGCTATCATCAGATTTCTCAGCAGAAATGTTACAGGCCAGAAGGGAATGACATGATATATTTAATGCAATGAAACAAAAGGGCCTCAAACCAAGAATACTCTACCCAGCAAGATTATCATTTAAATTTGAAGCAGG